TTTATACCCTGCCCTTCACTTGGAGTCTCAGAGGTAAAGGTAAAGGTTCCCTTGCTCGAAAGCCAGTCGAATCCGACTCTAGGGTTTCGGTGCTCATCTCCGTTTCCAAGCCGAAGAGCCAGCGCTGTCCGAAGACATTTCCGTGGTCATGTGGCCGGCATGACTAAACACCAAGGCGCACGGAACGCTGTTACCTTCCCACCGAAGTGGTCCCTATTTATCTGCTTGCAATTTCTTGCTTTCGAACTGCTAGGTTGGCAGGAGCTGTGACCAGAGACGGGAGCTCACTCCGTCATGTGGCACCCGGGTCTCGAACTGCTGAACTACTGACCTTCTACAGCCTGCAGTTCAGCGTCTTAACCACTTGAGCCACCGCAGCTCCCTTAGAGTCTCAGAGCAGCTGAGTAATTCCTTTCCCTTCCCCTCCCCACAACAGACACCCTGTGAGGTGGGTGGGGCTGAGGGAGCTCTGACACAAACTGCTCTTTCAAGAACAGCTGTGCCAGAGCTTGTGACTGACCAAAGGTCACATCAGCAGGTGCAAGTGGAGGAGCGGGGAATCAAACCCGGTTCTCCCAGATTTAGAGTCTGCACACTTAACCACTACACCAAACTGGCTGTATTTATGTGTGGGGTGTAGAGAGTGGACAGGGAGAACTTTCTCTCCCTCTCCCAAAAGACTAGAACTCGAGGGTACCCAGTGAAGCTGATGTGCAGTAGGTTCAGGGTGGACAAAAGGAAATACTACTTTACACAGAGAGGGATTAAAATGTGGAATGTGCTGCCAGAGGATGTCATGATGGCTGATCCTCCCTCTAAGCTGTGGAGTCCTCTGAGCAAGAATTCTACTCTGTGAGCTCCTGGCATTCAAGTTGTGAGCAAGCGATTTGGCTACTGCATCAATTACTTTGCTCTGGAGCCCTCCTTCCTGAGCTGAGACAAAAAAATGTGAGCTGGAGACCAAAAAACTGTGAGCTACCTCACACTAACTCAACTTAGAGGGAACACTGTCAGGTCACAGGAATGAACGGCTTTAAAAGGGGACTAGATAGATTCATGGAGTGGCTATTATCCATGGTGACTGAGGGGAACCTCCACATTCAGAGGGACTAGAGTTAGGAGGCAACACCTCAGCTTCTGTGCCCTGTTGTTGGCCCTCCAGAGGAACTGGTTGGCCACTGTGTGAGACGGGATGCTGGACTAGTGGGACCCTCACTGGTGTGATCCAGCAGGGCTCTTCTGGGGTTCTTATGAAGGCCTCAGCCTCCCTGCCCTGTTGTTGGCCCTCCAGAGGAACTGGTTGGCC